CTAATTTTATTTGTTTTAAACCGATTTTTAAATATTTGATTTATGCTATGTTTGAAAGTTGTGTTGAGAGAAGAAAAAAATGAGAAATTAATATTTATTCGAGAGTTGCTTAATTAAGAGAAAAAAAAGAGTTTAAATTTTTTTCTAAATCCTTTAAATAACTGATTTTTTTTTAATTTCTCATTTTAAAAGTTTTATATTTTTCACTTTTTCATGATTAGAATTTTAATTTTTTATAAAAAATGATAATTTTTTCAAAAAATATATAACAAATAAAAATATTAATTTAAAAAATAATTTTTTCATACAAATAAAAAATATAATAATATTATTATTTATATAATTAAATATCATAATCTCTAACATTTTAAACTCTCTCTTCTCTTCTCCTCCTCTCTTTCTCTTTTTAAACTCATCACCTCTGTCTCCCTCTAACCTCTCAAATAATTTCTTGAACGGTGCATTCAAGTATGCTCGATATGTACATTGCCTTTCATTTTCAGCTGGACTTTCCTTTTAACCGACCAGTGCAATTTAGGCAATTAATATATGAAATTTATGAAATATTGAGAATACTGTAGATAATTTATAAAACTTATATATATGTACATATAACTTTAATTTTTTTAATTTTTGTGCTTATTTAAGTTATTATTTAAATATAATTTCAGGGTAAATAATTCCACCCACCTAAATGTCATATACTTTTTGTACAAAATCGACATAAGCCGAACGCCTTAATAAGTTGTTTCTATTTTAAACTGAACTAAGATAATCTAAACACGATAAAATAACACTCCCTCGATTCAAAATGTCAGATACAGATTAAATGCAAAAAAGAAAGAACAAGTCAATTTATTAATAATAATAATATCAAATATATATGCATACCAAATGCTTGCACACGAATGGATTAGGCTCATCAGGTATTTACACCTAATGTTTTATTTTTATAAACTCAAAACACTCATAATTTTTTTTTCCCTACTGTCTTAAAGCAATATAAAAACAAATTATGTTTGGGAAATAGGCTTCCCAAAATTGTGGTAAGCTATCCCTGCTACATGCTGGATTAAAATAACATAAAATATAACAGATTAGCATTCAAGTGTAATTTTAATATACTATTAATGTGAAAAAATATGTATTATGAATCAATTAAAACACACCATTGATATATCAATCATTAAAAAAAATTAATTTTACTACTATAGCAATGACTAATTACGCGTAAAAACTCAATATTATTTATTTAAAGGTACCTTGAGTGTTTACATAGAAGACGAATCAGTAAACCTAATATATCCAGTGTTGCAGAAGAAGAAAAATATATCATACATTAATAGTTAGACATGATATTTAGTTTCGCTGGTGTAGCATTTAATTTGTCTAATAAAATTAAGATTTTAATGAAGACATAATTGGTTGATTGTACTAACATTATATATAATTCAAATAAATGATTTTATTGGTATAAAAAATGACATATACTATTAGAATTTTTTACTTTAATAATATTAAATTAGTATAACTATTATTGCAACTTTATGATATTTACATTAATAATTTATTTTCTACTAGATAAAGGTTTTATACCGACATAAACAATTTAAATACCTAATTTCTATTGTTAATATACGGTAAATTTTGTAGTATAAAAATCCTAATAGATTAATTATCTTTAAAGTGAAACTATGATAGTCTAAAATAAAATAGAATAACTAAATAAAAATAAATAATCTGAAATTAATTAAAAAATATAAAATGGAAATATTTTCTAATAATAAAAAACAAAGTTAAATAGTCCAACCTGCGTCAGCGATCATCTGATGCTGATTATGGTTCTAAGTTCCAACCTCATAGTGGCTGATTCAAATATTTTATGAATTTATTTAGTCTTACTTATTCTTTTACATTTTGATTTTAACATCTCACAATAATACGATGAAAGGTTGGCTCATAGATTTGATCAAACATCTATCTAAGAATGTGAAAATTTGTCTTCTTTCACACACACAGTTTTCTTTCTTTATATCAATCACGATATTGTTGATTGGTAAGCCAAAAATGCCTGCTATCGATCAAAATTTCAAACTGGTGAAGCATAATAATGTGGGAATACGAGGGATGTTGAAATACGCTCAAGAAACTCCTAAATATTTTACTATAATAATTTATCAGAAGTTCATCAACGAAGTCGTTGTAGTATAGTGGTGAGTATTCCCGCCTGTCACGCGGGTGACCCAGGTTCGATCCCCGGCAGCGGCGTAGAACGTTCCAAGTTTAGCCTTTTTGTCCCTATAACAGGGTACGTAGTAAACCCCTTTAGTGCAACTGTCATGTTAGTTTTTCTTGTGGTATTATTTCACTTATTCATATTAATTATTCACCGAACTTCAAATGCAACTAAAGCACTCTGGGACGATCCATAGAAGTTAGCAGCAAATGTGACAAAAGCAAACTATGTCAGGTGGTTTTTATTAAACGGGGGAGATCTTATTCCCTCGGTGTCTGTAGTCACTGAAATTTGCATGTAGTCCTTCGAAGTAATACTTTTCATGCTATCAAGCTTGAGAGAATATAGTTTATACGCATAAATAATGCGTTTTTTGTGGAGTCATTTGATGTCAAATTTCGAAACTTATAGTTCCAGTAATAGAACACAAACTAGCTCACTAGTTTTAGGCAACGGCTGGTACAAAGGATGATTATACTGATTCTTAGTTGCAGTTTTAAGATCAATTTTAATAGATTTATAAAGATATGAAGTTCATTTTAAAATTAGGATAAATTAGTTTTAATATTATAACAAATGAAAACGCGTTTTTAAATTTTAATAGAAAAAATTTGGAATATTTTTAATTAAATTAAAATTATTACACCTTTAATTGGCAACGAAAACTCGCTTTTGGTCTTTCCAAATTGTAACTGTAGTCGTTCGTTGTCCATCTTAGAATTCCATTATGAGGTGTCTTTCTGTTGGTTTCCACCGTTATCTAATTTTCCGAGGGATAATAATGTCACAGAAATCATGTTTAAAAGGAAAAGAAACTACATACTGAGTTACCGAATGGTGCAATAATAATAATAACGAAAAAAAGATAAATTTAAGTATAAAATAACAGAATTCCTATGCCGTGGATATTATCTACACATATAATGTCGACAATTTCGATAAAATTTAAAACCTTATTTTAAGTCTATAATTCCACTAGAATAAGGTTTTGCATGTCACATCCCTACCTTCCCCAAGATTAAGAGTTTTATTTCATTTACTTATTTTTACTTTTAATTAATTTTCCTAAAAATTTAAGAGGTTTCAAAATAATATTATTTAAACGAACATGTTAAAAACTAGACAAATATAACCTCACACATTTTATGCATTACTCCAATCATTCTTTCATTGTCCTTATGGATGTTACAAAACCAAGCTCACTTTTTCCTTGAGCCGTAAACCATGTTCACATTAAAACATGTATTGTCGCATTCGGATTTCTTACAATAGTTGGTGTTTTGTCGGGATATTTACCAATATTTAAAGCAGTTTTTTTCTTTTTTATGTCACAAGCGAGCGGTAAATTTTTAAAGCATGTTTCAGAGTTAGATTTTTATTGTAATAAAATTGAAAGAATAGTTTTTGACAATTTAACATTTTCTTTATATATGTATATATTTTATTGTAACTTTAATAGTTAATTAGTTTTGAATTACCTGATACATTTAATTATCTCTTTTAAAGTGTTTTTACTGCTTTGAGTTTCTTAGCTAAAATATCTCACTGTTGTAATTATCAGATTGATCTTATATTTAAGACTGTGATCAAACGAAACAATATCTAAATTAGCGAGTTTTGCATTAAATTATTAATTTAATTATTACGTGTGGCATGCACATTTTATTTAAACAATATTAGTCTCTCTATTATGATTAGGGTGGAATTTTGATCTAGGAATATTTTTTAATTTAAAATTAGTCTTCTAAAAATTTCAATTACTACAACGAAGTAATTAAACCGTTTAAAGTTCTCTTTAGTCAATGTTTGCAAATCAAAACATCATGTTTTTCTTAAAATTAAGAAATCTAAAATCCTTCTTCTCTTGCAATACTAACTTCAACTCTTATAAAAATCTATCAAATTTTTAGCTTCAAAACTTGGTAAATTAATATCTATATCTTAAATCCATTTCAACCCATCAATAGTTACGGGTGAAAAAGTTACAAGTTTTATGTAAAAAAGAAGATTAACAAAAAAAACTTGACTGTTACAATTAAAAAAATGAAGTAAAAAAAGATTAAAAAACCAAAATAATACATTAATGAATGCAGTATCGACTTGGGAGAAGTCAATATTATTGGTTGTATGAAAATACGCCAACAGTAAAATATAAAAGATGAAAAAAAAACAAACAAAATTGGACAAAGCTTTTGTGGGTGTGGGGGACATGCATCACATCATTATATTCATGCCTGTTGCCAAACTTCTTCACGCGGAACCCGGGTCGGGTCTCCACACGATGATGTTCTGTGGGCTGAAATAAAACGTGAGGTGAGGACCCGATGCGTGGGTGTATTCAATCTGTCTGGAACGGAGTAACTAAGCTTTGGAGCTTCAAAGTTTGACCCATTAAAGTTTAAAAGATGAACTGGAAAAAGAAAAAGCTCCAACACAAACAAAAGGCAAAGGCAAAAGCGTTTTGGCATATTCCCACCCTCGAAAATCGAAGCTCAATGAATCCAGCGCGAGCCGAGCCAAGCCAAGCCGGTACGTGGGCCCCACCGCCACTAATAATTAGGTTATCAGAAGGCACTCCACATGTTATGCAAGGCCTCGGCGCGGCAAATCCCACCTCGCTTTTATTCACTTGCGTCTCCATCAATCCCGCCGTTCATCTTTTAACGGCGCTGATGATAGGCTGCCCCACGCGATTCAGTGAGGCCTCACGCAGGATATAATAACCCCTGAACTGGCTTGAATGATTGATCTGTTGTTAAACGGAGAGAGTGTTATAGAAGTAAGAAGTAGAACATCCAGCGAGGAAGCGCATTCATTCCTCGTGAGGCCATTGGTGCTGTGTTCGTCTGGGTTTTAATCAGCTGCAACGCGGCCCAGGGGAGGACGACTGAGGATGACTTCGGACGGAGCAACGTCGGCGGCCACGAATCGGAGGAAGCCGTCGTGGAGGGAGAGGGAGAACAACCGGAGGAGAGAGAGGCGGAGAAGAGCCATAGCAGCGAAGATTTACTCTGGCCTTAGGGCTCAGGGTAACTACAATTTGCCCAAACACTGTGACAACAACGAGGTCTTGAAGGCTCTCTGCGCTGAAGCTGGTTGGACCGTCGAAGACGACGGCACCACATATCGCAAGGTACCTTCTAAGTCTATCACACTTCAATGTTCTTGGAGATCTCGTTTTCCGATTTTGTATCTCGCAATTTTGTTCGCGATTCGATTCAAATCTCTTTAATTGCCTAATGCACTTCGGATCAAACTGGTTTCTATTTTCGAAATTTTCTTGTTCGAACGAATCTATGCTTGAGAGAGAGAAGAATCGAGAATCTGTTGTTATTTAGTCAATTAGTAGCTATCTAAGTATGTAACATCGATTCATTTCCTATGCAATGAAACTTTCTAGTTTCTAACAATTAAGCGTCTTTGGTAATGGTATGTGGTTTTAAGTGCTGTAATAATTGAACAAAATTGCCTCATTGCCTTTATTTCATTTAAGGCGCGTAGTCAACCAGTATTTCAATGGTTAATTAATAATTTTTTTAGTTTTAATTTTTTTAACATTTAATTCAGGATTAATTAGCATTTTTGATGTATGATATACTATCTACTAATCTGTTTTGGGACATGATGTTGTTTGTTTGTGAAATAGGGATGCAGGGCACCACCACCAGGTGATGGTGTAGGCACTTCTAACAGAAACACTCCTTTTTCTTCACAAAATCCAAGTCCTCTTTCGTCATCATTTCCGAGTCCAATTCCATCCTACCAAGTAAGCCCTTCGTCCTCCTCTTTCCCCAGCCCTTCTCGTTTGGATGCCATTGCCAACAACCCATCAAACCTCATTCCCTACATTCGTAACGTGTTCCCTGCGTCTCTCCCTCCTCTGAGGATATCAAACAGCGCCCCTGTCACCCCACCTCTCTCCTCGCCAACTTCCAGAAATCCTAAACCAATTCCCACATGGGACTCAATTGCCAAAGCATCTATGGCATCCTTCAACCACAATCACCATCACAATCACAACTACAACCACAACCACAACCACCCTTTCTTTGCAGCTTCTGCCCCTGCTAGCCCAACACACCGCCACCTTTATACCCCACCCACTATTCCCGAATGTGATGAGTCTGACACCTCCACTGTTGAGTCTGGCCAGTGGCTCAACTTCCAAGCATTTGCACCTTCTGCTTCTGCTCTGCCAATCTCTCCCACTTTGAACTTCATCAAACCTGTGAGTAAGCAGCTCAACCTCCCCGGGGATAACAGAATCCAAGAGATGAGAAGTTCAGAGGCTGAGTTTGGGGTGCAGGTGAAGCCTTGGGTTGGGGAGAGGATTCATGAAGTGGGATTGGATGATTTGGAGCTCACGCTTGGAAGTGGGAAGACGCCTAGTTAGGAAGCTAGCAAAATTGCTACTCCATGCGGGCGGGTCATGTCAGAGTGAGACCCCAACGTTGTTGGTTCAATTTCGGGTGTCGAAAAACAAAGTTAACAGTTACTAAATCGTTCACCTCTCTTGGCGCAAGTAGCTGTGATCGGCAAGTATTCAGATGTCATGGCCATTTTATGTTAATTATATCCAAAACTCTTCATTTATTCACCTTTTTTTTAACATCTCAATTTGCTTCCTATTTTAAACATCTAAACAAATAGAATAAGAATTGTTTTTTTTTTCCCTTCAATTCACTGCTTTTTCGATGCGGTTTCTTCTCTCTATCCAAAGAAGATACACCTACAGTCTACGGAGGGGAAGAGATCCTGGTGTCTACATATAAACGGCCTACCGCAATGCCGATGCTAACTAGACCAATTTAAATGTTCAGAAATTTTTGTTTAGCAAAACAATGCAATCGGATTCTGTCTTCATTGATGGATTCCTGTCTGACCGAGAAATTTTATTCTTATGACTTTTTTACAACTACGAGAGATGTTTGGAGAGAAAAAAAGGAAAGTATAAGATAAAATAAATAATATGATAACAAAATAAACAAGATAATTATAAAAGGTATGCATAGTAATAATGTAAATCTAATTTTAGTTGTCAGAATCACAAAGCCCAACTAAATATAATTTTAGCTATGATTAAGGCAGGTCAATCTTCTGAGTTATTTCGTATGTATTGTGGAGATTTGAAAAATAATAATATTTTGACACTCCTTTTTAAGATGTAAAATGGGTGAAGAATTAAAAAAAAAAGGGTAAAAAAGAAAGAAAGATAGAAATAAGGGTCAGATGATATATCATGTCAAATTTAGTAAAATTATAGTTTTAATAACATTATTATTAAAAATAAATTTTATTAATTTAATCATTATTTCTTGTAATATTATCACGAAACCCAACAATAGCTATTTACTTATATTTAAATAAAATATTATTTATTAAAATATAGTGAGAAAATAGAGTATTAATTAAAATTTAAAACAAAAAAAATTCTTTGCAAATTTGATATATTTTATAATAATCTTAAATTAAACTATTGAATTGGTAAATTTTCTTTTGATAAAAAAAAAGTTATTCAACGTATGGTTTTATTCTAACACTGGAAAGAACGAGAGGATAGAAAGTAAATTTAAGTAAAATAAATGTAAAATTACAAGAATTGATATGAAAATTTATCCATTAGAAGGCCTTTTTTGAGTTTTTTAAAATTATTTTCTCATAACAATTCATTTTAAGATGAAATCTGCCTGTGAGAGTATGGAGAAGCTAGAAAATTTCCGTGGGAAAAACCGTGATGAGCAAAGGGCAAGGCAAGGGACCCAAACGTTAGACAACCTATGCAAAAGGCCTCTTGAGACTGGAGAGACTGACGGTTCTCCCTTCTTAACAAATGGATTGTGAACTTACTATAGTAGTTTTCTAAAAAAGCTGAAGAACATATAATAGAGTGGGACATGGAACCAATGCTTTATCAATTATACAGGGAAGCATGATTAAGTTGGATATTTGTTACAGAACAGAGAAACAGAGCCGAACAATAACTTATCAACAAGTATATTAAAAGAAACATGCACCTTCACGTGGGAATACCAAAGAACAAGATGATACATATTATTTTCTGGTTAGGTTAGGTGACATACAAACAAATTAAGAAAGAATGAAATAAAATTACATAGCATACAATAATAAGAAAAGTAACACTATCGACCCCACGTCTTGGAACGTCTTCTCCAATTAAACGACCTTCAGTAATTGAATTTGTGTCAACTCCGTGGTTTCATTTTGTACCTTCTCATCATTAATCTCAGTTTTCAATTCGTTTTTGGTTGTCACATTGCATTCCTGGTACCTGTAGCATGTTAATAGGTGGTCATTAACGAGCCCTGCTACCTGCATGAACGAATAAACTACAGTCGGTCCCACACATTGGAATCCTCTGCGCATCATGTCCTTGCTAATGAGTTCCGCTTTTGGGGTCTTCACAGGTACTTGACGTCCGTATCTAAATTCATTTCTTATTGGTTTCCGGTTAACAAATCTCCAGCAGTAATTGCTGAATGAACCGAACTCCTGCTTGATCTGTAAAAGGATAAATCAATGGCCATTCTAATATCTTTGCTTAAAACACATGCATGCAGCATTAACTTTGGAGTTACCTTGAGTAGTTGTTTAGCATTTTCCACAATGGCACGGAGCTTTGGTTCTGACAACAATGAGTTGCCTTTTATTTTCAGTGTTAGCAACTTCTTTTCAGTAAACTGTGCAAGTGATGATGGTTCAAAATTTTCAAAAAGCTTCCTATCACAGATTTCAAATAGTAAGAGTCAGATAACACGTATTCATGTAAAGTGTCATGGTTTAAAAATTTGGTAGATCTATAGATCAATACTCGATAGACATGCCTGAAAATATCTCTCTGTTTAAGAATTGCTGGCCAACTGTGTTCTGCTAATGCTTGTGAAAAGACTAGAAGCTCAAATAACTTTCTATCATCGTCAACTGGAACACCCCACTCTTCATCGTGGAAAGCAATATAGAGAGGGTCTGCTTAGAATAAAATAACGTTTATTGTTAAGGTAATCTGTCGGTGGGGTTTATATGCACCCTCTAGTTAAATCTAAGTGGAAGCATCCTTTGCCAAAAATGAAGTTCCCCATCCCCTATTACAGTATTGGAAATTTGAATCTATCACAAAAGTAGATACAAACACGAAATCAAAAGCTAAAATGACATTTAAAATAAAAGAGGCAAAGAGGAAAATCAACTAGAAAGCAAAACCAAATTATGTACTCTAGTGTACGTTTAAGAGTAGAATTTTCGAAGAAAAGGATTCAAATATAATGCATTAAATTTATATCAATCTATTGTTTTATTTCTTTTATAAAAAAAATCGAATAAAAAACATTTGTTTTTAAAAATAAATAATTTGTTCTCTCTACCATCTACTCGAAAATCCAATCCTTTAGATGCCTTTCAATGCGACCCCTTTGTGGGGGCAACCTGCCTCAGATTTTTTAGCTACGAAGAAAGCACATATATGGGAAGTGAATAGACCAGAAGAATGCAAGTCCATATCTCACCGCCTTCATTAACTTGATTCATAAAGGTGGGGTATTAGGCTACAAAGCTGAAGGCAACTCTTTGATGAAACACCACCATAATCTCACTTAATGTCCATACTTAAACGGATACTTGTCATGGCAGGCCCTTCTCTATTATTAGGGCTCAATTTATGATGCGACGTGTAGAAGGCGCAGCACTATGATTGTAATCATTCAAATATTGGTAATTAGTTTAATCCAATTCATCATGCATCTCTAGAGGAAAAAAAAAAACCAAGGTATTTCGAATTTTTCAATATTATTTTTGGTACACTGTAAATAAATAACCGATCACACTTACAAAACAAAACACATTTTCGACCATAATCACCATCAGTAGCGAAGAACACAGATAGTATGCAATCCTGTTTCTTCATAAATATGGTACTATGGTATCAGCGGTCAAACATTTACAATTACATATATATATATATATATATATATATACAGATCGATTAAATATCGATAATAGTCGGTAAATATTTGTTCTGTTTCAGAAATAATTGTCACACAAAGTTTTGCATAAAAGATTAAAATATCATTAAATAACTTTAACTTAAAAATATAATTCTTTCACTTTAAATTAAACTAAAGATAACGATATATTTTTAAAAATTAAGATTCTCTTTTTTAAGTATATGTAATTTAATGAAACAATCTTTTAAAATAAAAGCCATTTAATTTTAATTACTTAAAATTAACTTTGAAGACTCACGTTAACAAAAATACTTTTTTAAGGAATAAATAATTAAAAAAAGCTAACTTCTAAATTCAATATCAGAGAAAAACTCTTCAAACTTACATGTATTACCATCACATTAAACTTTAAAATATTTTTATTATCAAATTAGTTCTTCAAAATTTTCATATATAATTCTCAAAGAGTGTAGTAGCTTAGTTTCTCAGAGATTTAATTTATCATTAAATTTGATTTTGTTAATCAATTAAGTTTAAAAGATTTTATTACTTAATTTTTCATAAGTACTACTATAACGATATTTTAACTTTAAGAAATAAATTTAATGACAAAATTTAAATCCAAAATTTTATTTTAAGGAAACTAAGAACGTACAAATGATAATATATTTGAAATAAAAAATAAGAGCTTTTTAATAATCATTTTAATATAAAAATACTATTTTACTATAATTTAAAATTGGATATCGGTACAGATAAAAACAACTTAAAATTATAAAAACAAGGGGGATTGATACTCTTTATGTCACGTTACTCGGTGAATCTATAACTCCTCGCTGTGTGTGTGTTATACGAATGGTTTTCCCCGTGAAAAATGAAAAAGTATCTGGATACTTGACACTTACCAGAATTTGGAGTGATCCATTCGCATCTCTTGGGCGGTGCCGTGGTCTTGAAAGGCGTGTTCAAGGTAGCTACATCCATGGCATCGGGCACAACCCTTACGGGCTTAAACCCGTTACGCTTCACGCTTCTCCTACTTGCAGTTCCGGAGTTTACCTTTTTGCCAGACGAATCCAAGGAACAAGTGCTGTCTAAAGACACGTTACTTTGCACAACGGAGTCAGGAATTTGCGGTGCCTCTTTTCTCGTGCGCTGCGGATTCTTCATGTTCTCCTTCTCGCGTTTCGGCTCTTCAGAAACAGCGACTCTGTTTCCGGCGGGTTTCAAAATGGCTCGCGGTTCAGAAGCGGGTTTAGCGTAAGAGCGAAGCTTAGTGGCGACGGGCATTTTGGTGTTTATTTATTTTGAAAATCTTGGAATGATAGGTGGAAGTGAAGTGAAGTGGGAAATTCTAGAGGGGGAGATAAGTAATGAAATATGGGAAGGGTTAGCTTAGCTTAGGCGAAGGGTCACACTCACACTTGTTCGGTAACGTTAAGAATTGGGTGTGGTGTGGGCATTGGCCTGTGTTTCGTTTGTTGTTTGGATGGTTGCTTACCGTTAAGAAAAAGAATCCTAAGTCTCCTCACCAAAAGGCCACGTATTCGCGTTCGGTAGACATTACCCAACGGCTATGTTATGTGACCACTCACTACCATTCAGCGCCTATATTACAACATCGCTCAACATGGCCCGGCCCGGCCCAAAATCAACCTTTCACCCCCAAACCTTTAGACTTGTTTTCCTCAAGCAGGCCCTTCGGCCTTGTTTTCTTTCTTGGGCTGTTTTCAGCCTTATTAAGAATTTTAAAAAAATGAATTTTTCTGTTCAATATCCTAAATGTATTTGTATATATAGCACATCAGATTAAAAAATTAATATATAATTTAACCTTTACGAGGAAATGCTCCAAATAATTATTCATTCAATTACACCCACGTCGTTATCATTTTTAACCTTTGTGCTTAGACACGTATAAAATATTTTTTGGATTCCCCCCTTAAACTGTAAATATCTGACTTGGAGTTCACTTTCTATCAGTAAAATCTATTACCGTAGTTAACTAGTTATTTATTTAGATCAGCTGGCTTTGTACTCTTTTTTGTTTTTTCTCTCAGCCATTGTCCACTGTTAAACCTGTAAATTTTGTTTTTTTTTTTTTTGTTTTGTTTTTCCAAACAGACCCTACATGATACAAAGCCGATCAAATTCCCAGTTTAAACCATTCGAATTTCTGTATTTTTTTTTCTTTATCATTAATCAGTGACATTTTTAATGTATTGCCAGATTTTATTGAACTAACATATTTTTTAAAATAAAAATCCAAGATATTTTATTTTTAAATTAATAAAATTTTAAAAGATATATATTAATATTGTTAACAATACATATTTTATTATATTAAAGAGAGATTTTTTTAAAATACATTATAAAAAATAAAAAATTCAATACAGAAAATAAATTCATAAAATATTTTTGTTTAAATAATTTAAAAAAATTTTAAAATAAAGATTCACATGTTTTGATAACCTTTTACTTTGCTAAACAGTGTTACTTTAATTTAAAGTGAAGACTGTAAGATATATTTTATTGAATAGATTATATAAAATTAATCTATTTAATTAAAAATGACAGTATTACCTTTTATTATTTTGAGTTAAATTTGATAGGTCTAAAACAGATAAATTTTATATTCTTATGCCCCTCCATCGGTGAATAATTGGCTATTTGTTTATATGTTTTTTTTTTCCTCAAGTCTTATAACTTTTCTTTTTTTGCTCATATTATAACTTTTCTTTTAAAATAATAATATTTAAAACAAGTTTTATTTCTATTTTAAAAACAAATTTTTAATTTAAAAAATAAAATATAATATACTTTAAAGTTTTAATTTTTAAATAAACAAAATTAACTGTATTTTTATAATTGAGAAAGTTTAATATTTTTTTATACGTAAAATAATCGTTATAAATAATAAAATTCGTGATTTAATTAAAAAAATATTAACCACCTTAAACTAGAATACCCTTTAAATTTACGTAGCAATAACCTCCTAGATATATCCCGAAGATTATATTTTGTTTTGAATGAAGAAAATGTTCAAACGTTTCATCAAAACAATAATAATAATCCCACCAGAGTGAGGATCGCGTGAGCATTATTTGCCAGATCCGCATAAACAAAAGCACGCACGCAAGCAAGCATTTCGTGTTCCTTATCTCTCTCTGCGTGTCGCTGCATTTCCCTCTCTCTCTCTTACCAAAACCCTAAATCTACCCTTTCTTATATGTATATGGAAGAGAAAGAGTAATCAGAAACAGCAATCAATCGCAGCATCGATTCAACTATGGAGTCAGAACTTAAAGACCTGAATTCGAAACCGCCGAAATCAAATGGCAATAGCAATAGCATTCGGGATGATCGTCCTCTGCTGAAGTCGGAGTCGCTCTTCTCCGACAGCGCGGTGGAACTCCAAGACCTCGAGAAGAAATTCGCCGCGTATGTTAGGCGCGACGTGTACGGAACTATGGGTCGCGGAGAGTTGCCTACAAAGGAGAAGCTCTTGCTCGGTTTCGCTTTAGTTACTCTTCTCCCTATTAGAGTCCTTCTCGCTGTCACCATCTTGCTCTTCTATTACTTCATTTGTAGGGTTTGTACACTCTTCTCTGCGCCTAATCGTGAGGACGAGCAAGAAGATTACGCTCACATGGGTGGCTGGAGGAGAACCGTTATTGTTGCCTGTGGGAGAGCTCTCTCTAGAGCCATGCTCTTCATTTTCGGCTTTTATTGGATCCCCGAATCCCGCCATGCTGTTCTCAACTCTACCTCTCAGGTATCACTTTTGTTACCTGCTTTATTACTTCATTGTTTTTCAGTGTTTTGCCTTATTCTGTTTCACAGTTTGTCGACACTGAAATCCATCTGTTTGTTATGCGATTCCTTCGAATCAATGCACAGCCATAACGTAAAATTTAGCTTATCGTTATGCTAAGAGAGTGATCTGTTGCTATGGTTTCCTCCTAATAAATATGCCTAATTAATTAAAAGAGGAATTTATTGACTGAAAAAGTCAGAGCTATTTAATGCTTCAAAGTTATACGGAGGATAGATATGATTTTTTTTTTCGCTAAACTTTATCTTTGAGGTGTTTCTGGTTGTTTACTGCATTCTAAATGGCAAGATGATTACTGCTTAATGAAAATTGTATTGGTTTTGAAATGGCAATGCTGTATTGTTTCTGGAGAGATTAGTCTTATGTTTTCTTTCTTTTTGTCTTTGAAGAAACAAAAGAATATTGCTTGTCGTTTAGTTTAGGATAGCAGTTTTTCAGATATTATTAATAGATGTCATTTACTCACGCATTGTATTTCTCGTTTCAGTTATAAAAAGTAACAAGATAATCAGCACATGCCTAATATTGGAAAGTGATGTTAATTCACTATTGAAACTGAAACAAATATTTTGTTATTTTTTCTTTCTTAAATGTTCTTTCTTGGCATTTGATTTTAGTTCCAGCTAATTTTTTTTGTCTGCTTCAATTTAAGAAGGAAGACAAGCATCAGCCTGAAGAGTTGGGAAGACCTGGTGTCATAATATCTAATCATGTGTCATACTTGGATATTTTATATCACATGTCATCCTCGTTCCCAAGTTTTGTTGCTAAGGTTTGTTATGTTACAATTTTTATTCTTTATGGCGATGAATGTATCTTGTACATATGTTTGTTACTGACATTTTTTTTCAAAATTTTTATTTAAATCTTGGATTTCATCGATGAAGAGATCAGTGGCTAAACTTCCTCTTGTTGGTCTCATCAGGTCTGTTGGTTTGAATTGGTTCATTATGGATTATTGCTAACTTAGATCTTATTGCTTTTTTTTTTTTATTTCTTTAGATCTTGAGGTGTTCTGCTCTTTATTCTTTTCTCAAATTTTAATTCAAAATTGACGTTTATATGATTGTTAATTAACATAAAGTTCAAGAAATAAGAATGCTGCATTTTATATGATTCAATATGTATTATCTTTTCATTCTATGGAATTATTCAAAATCTGGTGCTTATATATTTTTGTATGTTTATCATGACAGCAAGTGCCTTGGTTGTGTCTATGTTCAGCGGGAATCAAAGTCATCGGACTTCAAGGGTGTTTCAGGTGTATATATTTTTGGTTTATGTGCCATTGTTATAATTATGAAAATGTGTGCAATTTAAACAAAGTAAAGGAATGTAAAATCCCTTGTTTCACTCCTCATCCTGTGCTTTGTCTGGTTCTTCTCTTCACATTTTTAATGGCACACTGCATTATGTCTTTTGCATCTTGAATTTTTAAATTTTCTACGGTATAGATGTACCTCCTAATTGTTTTATTGTAAGGTATAAATTAGATCAGCCAATATAAAACTCTATCTAGTCTACATTCCATTTATAAAAAGAGAATGCCCAATCATTGCTGGTAATTAAGGAATTTGACTTATAGTAAAAGTTTCATTCAGTCTGTTTGGTGGCATCACATGTAATATTAACATTCCAAATTCTTTGCATTGACAAATGACAATGGATCAAAAGTAGGTAATCTTCATTTTTCTTAATCTGAATGAATTTCTCCTTTGGCTTCTAAATATACCCACACTATTTGTTGCTGTCTGAAGGTGCCCCAACAGTCATTCTGTTATATATTTTCATGTGTATTAGTTTGTCAAAGTGGGATTTAATTGCCCTGTTTAATATAAATTAGAAGAGTGTAGTAACTGGTGATGCTAACCAATCTTTGCTCTAGGACATGAAGATTGATAAAATCTCTAGTGATGCTAATCTGTGAACCTTCTTGCAGCTGTTGTTACTGAAAGAATTCGAGAAGCTCATCAGAATAAGTCTGCTCCATTCATGATGTTATTTCCAGGTTATCATCCTATTGATTTTTTTTGGGGGTGGGGGGAGGAGAGGAGGGTGATCAAATTCATCCTTTTAACTAATTGGGGTTGAGTTCTCAATGCTGTTCTACAATAATATATATATGCCTTAGGAAAGATTTGGTATCCTGTTGTCTCCAATATATACAACCTCTAATTTAATCTCAAGAAGAGGAAGTTATAGTTAGTCAGCAATTATTTGAATTTTCAAAATTTTTTAATTCCTCCCCCTTCTCTTTCTCTATTGTGTTAAGAGAAAGGTGAATTGATTGTGTAAGGATGTGAGCATGTAAAATTATTGATGTAGATTTTTCTACTTTTATTTGCAACATGTATTTATTGTAAAATTAATTTGATGATTAAGTTGGTGCTTTTCTTTACCTTATTTATCCTATTTAATTAATGAATACTGCATCTGTGTTTTCATCCTCAAGAAGATGTTTATGTTTTTGACTAACTATCTTCTCTTTAAAAATCCCTTTTCAGCCTAAAGATTCATATGTTAAGTTCCTTTCTTTGTAATTTCACCTGTCATATTTCTTTATCTTCAAGTATCACTCTATACCATTAAGTTCTTCATGTTTATTAACTTAATTTGCCACTAGCATGTGAATTATTTGTGGCACTGGCATTGGTCATATTATTATATTTGTTGTATCTGTCATTTAATTATTAAGAGTGATTTGGAGTATCTAAGTTATTAATGTGTATCCATGTTCTTATAATCATTTAATTTAATAATATTGGGTATTATACAGAAGGTACAACCACAAATGGAGACTTCCTCCTTCCGTTCAAGACTGGTGGTTTTTTGGCAAAGGCACCAGTACTTCCTGTGATTTTAAGATATCATTACCAGAGATTTAGCCCCGCCTGGGATTCCATATCTGGGGTGAGTACTTCAATAGTAATAAAGTTTTATGCTTTTCACAAAATTCTGATAATAGAAGCTACCCTAATGCCCAATATCTAAGCTGCTCTATTCTGATAACTGCTATATTTGAACCTAGAGTTGTACCTTAGGTGTGAACAGTCACTTGTTTTTTAAACTTTGTTCGGAATTGATGTTTGAAATTATGAGAAAGCATTTGGAACTCTTTACACTTTACACACTCACTTTTTTTTGTTGTCAACTACACACTCACTTAACTTCATACTCAAACAGTCGGTAGTACAGCTGAAAAGTTGCTCAAAAACATTTGCTTTCCACTTGTGTGAAGTGTGAAAGGTTGTAGTTTGTTTTAGGTAAATGTAGAACTGCTTTTGTGCTTCAAATGATTCTGAGCTAATCATCTACAAGAAACAAATTGTTTGTGCTGTTAATAATTTTTTTGCAATTTAATTAGGAGAAATTTCCATCGATCTTAGGAGCATTTGTTTTTATTCTCAATTTAAGTTTTGCATTTACGTTTGCAGGTGCGACATGTGATATTTCTCCTCTGTCAGTTTGTAAATTATATGGAGGTTGTTCAATTTCCTGTTTACTATCCCTCACAGCAGGAGATGGATGACCCCAAACTATATGCTAATAATGTTAGAAGGCTAATGGCTACTGAGGTATTTATACTGGTTTCTCGGTGGAAATAGATTTGATGTTGTAGGGTTATTAAATGGTTAAGAAGGATATATATATAGGTGTTCACCTATTCTATAGCTAGAGACAGACTTATGCGTGTGTGTATAAATTGACACTTTATAACGTTACCTAGTTACACCACTCAATAATTCTTTAAAGAAACTTATTTTGGGCAATCTATCTGTTGACAATTTTTGTCGGTTCTTTTTGCATTCAAAATTTTGCAAAGGGTACATGATAATGTACTTGTTGGTATTCTTTTTGTGTGAAAAGTATATTGTAAATTAATTTTGTAATGTTTTGTTGCAGTAGAAAATATTTTGGATTTTATGTTTACTTTTTTTCCCATGATATAGATAATGTGAGCTATCAATTCAACTGTGGATTTAAGGTGTTTTTTTTTTTTTTTGAGAAAATGTTAGAATATTAAGACTTCTTGTTTTAGGAGTTTTGTGATGTTAACCTAGATGGTTCACTAGTGACACTTTTGCTAGTTGTACCACACACTAGAAATTAGATTGGTGGTATAAATAGGTGTTTGTGGTTTGTATTTAATTCACAGTACACAATTTCTCTCAAACCCGGTTTCAATGGAAAGTATATCATTGGATTGAAAAGTGTCATTTTGATCATTCGTTTAATGAGTCTTAATTTACGTTTGGTTCAGCTAATTTAGAGAAATAGTCGTTTATTTTAGCCAACTTCTGGAAGAGATTAAAAAAAAAAATTATTTCTCAAAAAAATATTGCCCAACATGTACTTTTACTAATCAAATATAGAAAATTATCAACTTGTCTGTTTGTGTGCACACACATGCATACACATAATCCATTTCTGTTTTGCTGAACAAACTTATACAAATTCTTAAATGGCAATTGATTAAGTATAATATTTAATTTTATTCCTTTAGTTTTCATTTTCATCTAGCGAGGCAAAATGGGTTATTATACTATTAAATCTTGCACTCTTTTTTCATTTTCAAGTGCTGTTTGGCGAATGTCAAAAGTTTCATTCCTTGGTTTGCATTCTTTATTTCAATTGTATGCCTGAATATCCCAATTCACTTGCCTCCATGTTGATTATTCCCTCATATTTGTTAATGCAGTCGTTTGTTGTAGGCTTGTAGCAAAGGGATTGACATTTGTCATACTGTTTAAATATCACGGTACAACTGCTGTGGATACAAGCTTATTTTGTCTATTGTATGTTCTGCTTGCAGGGTAATTTGATACTTTCCGATATTGGACTAGCCGAAAAACGAATATATCATGCTGCTCTCAATGGTAATAATAGCCTGCCTAGTGTTTTGCATCAGAAAGACGATTGATAATTTCATGGCCCCGGTGTCAAATGATATGTAGTTTCAGTCGAGTTTTCAGTTTTGAACTTGGTATTTGATTATGAATGGAGAGCTTGCGTGAGGTTTGTTTATAGCTAATACATTCACCTAAACATCTGAATGATACTTGTGTAATTTTCTTGTAAATAACGTGACGGATAATATGTTTAATTGCTGGTGAACTATATTGAGGCACACAATTCCAAGAGTTATTAGTGTTCTCGTTCGTTCACGTTTTGATTGTGATAAATGCCCTAACTAATTTGAAGAAGGCCATGTAACTTTAGATCTGAATCTTCTGTTTCGTGTTCCTGCAGGTTTGTTTTCCCAATGCTAATTCTTCGGATTCGTGGTCTGTATATTCCTTGTATGGTTCCATTATTTATCAGGAAAGAAAAAGAAATCAATATAGAAAATTCTGTGCAGAACAAGTATTATATTTGAAAATGTAATTATCTGATAAGTTAACTGCCTCTGGAGCATTAATGCGATTTCTGAGCGAGCAGAGGTTCGATGTATCTATGTTTTTGGTCAAACTTGTAGGATTGATAGGATCCTCTTCAATACAGGGTGTTCTAAAATATCATTATTTCCTATTCTTTTTATTTATTTAATGTTTTTTGCATTAGGTAGAACAAGCTCAGGCGAGATTTTTTTTTTTTTTTTGGGGTTCTTATGAGGGACCGAAGCCCCTAACGAGCAGCAACGTCCTTTAAAAGGAATTGCTCAATATTATCTAACAATGGGCTATTACATTCAGGCTGCATTTGTTAACAGTCACGAATTAAATTGGGACAAAACTGCAATTTTGTAGGGATTCAGATGCACGCTGTAAAAACGTTGAGTTAGTTGAATCTGTGTACTAGTTAATTTGAATATGCAAGTGACAATCTTGATTATGAAAATAAACGTGTACATCGGTTTTGATTTGAGCCTTGGCATTTTAATTTAGACTTTGCATGATCTGAGTGTGTAAATAAGAAATTTATGACCCATTAATGAATAAATTAAGATTAGGTTTAACTCATTGATTGAAAAAATCACATTGGGTTATTTATTTATTGAACACGAGGTATATGATATACTGTGTATACATTAGTTTTCTTATTTGTAAATCTTAATGAGCTTTTAATTTTGATTGCATGTAATAAGATTTTATTGCTGTTATATACGCTTTACTAGGAACTTACAACAATAATGAGCAATTTATCTAGCAACGGTCCCAAACAAGTAAAAGACAAAACCATTAAGGGGCAGTGCATATCGCCCAAGTTCTACCCCGTACGTTTCTGTGCGGGCTTTGTTACCCACACTAAAGAAAACCACGATTTAACAAAGCGGAGCGTTGAAGTGCGTATTTAACAATTTGTATCATTACGAACAGTGTATAGAAATCACAAATATACAGAAATTAACGAGAGAAAGCTGATACGGGCAGATTATATAGCCTGGGGTCAGTTGCCTTGCATTACCTGTAAATATACATTTATCATGCAGAAGACGTATCAATAAGAAAAACTAAACTAATGTGTTGAGGGGGGAAAAGATACTGGTGGATGCATAGCAGAAAAGAAAATTACACATTTGAAGACTCGGATCATTTATATTATATTACAAATTGTATCAATGATAACTTCTTAATAATGGTATTGACAAAATTAGAGTACACCAAATATATTGAATTGTGTCCATGCTTCCTGCATTGTAAAACATGGTCATCTAATTCAGTTTTTGTTAAAAAAAAAAAGTATGCATGAAAATACACCTGTCAATCATGATAAGACATATTAATCATTTACTACATTTGAATGACTTCCTAAGAATTGACCACAGTCACAGTGCACATGTTATCAAATAAATATTTATTAGCATGACTTTGTCTTCAGCACAGCCATTATTAATAATCTACTATATTTTGTGCTAATATGTATGTGCCTCTCATTTTGAGGACATAATACGGTTTGATGGTTAGCAATGGAGTAGAAAGATTTCAGTAAGTAGGAGGAAAATAATCATGAGTTGCTTTTCTCTCTGCACTGCAAAATATTAAGCGCTATAACTTGGGTTACAAGCTAGGGAAGAAGAATGCTGAAAATAGAACATAAATCTAGAATGTCATTAGCTAAGCTGGTTTCTTCTGCACGTCTCAAGATTCAAGAATTGAATGCACTATCCATTTGGTATTAGGTAACTTGAATGATCCTAATCAATTGCATCCGAAATTTGGCCTCATACCAAATCTGCCAGACTGTATACAAAAGAACCGATTATTTTATGATAGAAAAATAGTCTTTGCAATTAGAGTTCAGGATTATGTTTGTTGCTTGTGTTCTTAAGATGACCTATTATACCAAAGAGGGAAAAAAAATTGTTATTTTCTTTCCAACTGCAAATTGACTTGGCACACAGGAGCTTTTGGATAAAAATCATCCAGCAAAAAGCTCATATCAGTACTTCAAAGTTAAAAATAAATGTTAAGACAAGGAATGTGTATGAACACTTTTAAGGAAGGTTTTAGACATAGCCCACGAAAGAGAGAGAGAGAGAGAGAGATAGAATGGCTGCAAAGCTAATCAGTTACCACAAACGTTACCTGTAAAATGTCAAAAACTTTTTCTGCAATGTATTTTTGCTGTGAAGCGGCACCCTTTTGCTGCAACTTATCTGGATGCAGACACAGTAAAGCTCTTTGATATGCCCTTTTCACCGCATTCCCTTCAATTATATCAACAAGAGGCACAGGCTTCCAGCCACACTCCGGCCAAAGTACCTTTATGCATGATCAATGTCATTTTGATAACAGCAAGAACTAGGCATAGAACCATGGACCTTCAAAGCACTAACCTCTAACTATGATTTCAAATCATAAAATGCTTTATCTTTGTTGACAAACAAGAACAATAAATTTCAATCAAGTAGGATAAGAATGGGAAGGAATAAAGGATATATATATATATATATATATATAATTTTTTTTTTTTATATTTTTTTTCCTTACGTATTGTAATGTTGATAGCAGGGAGCGTATGTTTCCTTCCTTTCCTTTAGACCACTGTTGTATCTTATTGTCAATGACCTACATTGTATGCAGAGGTATATATACTTAATTTCGTTGTTCTATAAAATTGAAACAAACGAAGCATGTTTAGGTTAGTTGCAAATTACTTGGATTTCTTGAGTTTCTTGGTTTTGTAAGATCTCGCCCTCATCTTGGGCTATTACTCGTATCTGCAAAACCCAAGTCAGGAGCTTATCAATGAAAGGCACATAAAAGGCACAAATTTAACACCTACAATAGGAACTTAATGGGATACCATGAAATTCCCATGGAAGAACTCGTCTTTATCTCCAACAACAGCAAACGATATATCAGGAATTGCTGGTAACAAAATCAAGTTGTTCCATCACATAATTTTAATCATCAAGTATTTACACCAAATCATATACAGAGTTTCGAAGTTAATCAATGAGAAAGCATAAAATTTTTACACTATCAATAAAGTGAAGAGAACTTAAAGACTGAATTAACAGATAACTAAGAACAGTGCATGTGCATGTAATGAATGACCACATAAGAATTTTAAATAGAATCTGCCTCCAATTATATATCTTATTTTTAGATGATGTAGGCCACATACATAAAATTTTTAAAGTTTTGCTATATTCTTTTTACTATGTTACAAATAAAGAAGAGTATATTCGAAAATCAAATCTCAACAAATGGAATATTGAAATTTGGATAACTAAGTTGTACCTGACATTGAGTTATCGTCTTGATGTGACAAATTATTAGCAAAGGTATTGGTAGTCTCTGTGGCAGAGTTGTCCTTTTTGGATTGTTCATGATTACCTTCCACCTGGGAGAATAGAAAGAAATCTTAAACACCTAGACTGGTGGGAAACTAGAATAACATGAGATTTCTCACTAAAGCATACTCAAACTATCTACATCCTTCTAATAATGTGAGTTTTCTCTTCTAGTATCTTCTTCAGCTGTGACAACACTTACTTCAATCTTTGTCCTTAAAGCATCTCTCTGCTTGTGTATAGAACCCAGAAGTTGAGATTTGAAATCAACTTTGGGCTTTGTTACAGCTTCTTGGTTGAAAATTCGAACGAATTCTTTGACCTTTCCTTTAACTCGACCTTTCCCCATATTCTCACCTGAGTTTAATGAACCCTCGGAAGAAGCTTTGCTATGTCCTACATCTCTCAATAAAACTTTTTCTTCTTGTTTCTTAGGATTCACGGCAACATCAAAAATAGCAGATAACTTTTTTGTGGTTTTGATCTTGTTTTCTTCATTCTCCCTTATAATCACCTCATCACAATCTGACATACGAAATGAAGAACAGCATCAAGGGGTGGTAAGGTAGTAATATGTGTGTGTACATAAATACATATGTAGAGAGAGAGAGAGAGAGAACAAAATGCTGAAGATGGCTTCACCTTGTTTCTCATCATCTTCTTTCAGCAGAGAATGTAGCTGTTTGGGCTGAAGCTTCTGAGTTTGGTTTGCTGTTACAGTTTTTCCAGAGAAGCCGATCTCGGTTTTAGAATGAGTACTTGATTCTACTGCTCCATCGTCACACGAGGTAGAACTACCAGGAACTTCTTTAGTAACAGTTTTAGGACTGCTCGATGTATCTGATTGAGCTTTGGCAGAAAGTATTTGTTCCACAATTTGATGCGAATCGGCCCCTTTTTTAGTAGCTGTGGAAGTAGTTGACACATCTTGTTTTCTATTAATCAGCAAAGAAGAACCCTTGTTTGCTATAGGATTCTGTGGGGTAATCTCATTGATCTTCCATTCCTTAGCGCTTGAGCATCTCTCAAGTTTAACCTTCTCTTTTGTCCTTGAGGCTCTCTCTGTCCTAAAAGGCATCACCAACGGTACCCCTTTGCTTGCCCATTTGTATATTGAGAAATGGAACTCGCAATTAGTGGTACTACGTGAAACTTCACTAATAGATATCTGTTGTTTCATATTGCTTCCTGTGTCTGCTTGATCTGATATGCTCATGTTCGAAGATTCCTGTGAAAGAAGACTTTGTCGGAAATGTGGGTTTAAATCATTTTTCAACTCCTTGCACTGGGTTGAAAATCTAGATAGATGAGAATCTGAAGAGCCTAATCCATTTGAACCAGCAATACCATCGTCGATGTTGTCGAGAGGGTTCCTACTCCTAGTTGGGGAACCAAATGTTGGAAGGTCCACCCCATTTGTCAATTTGGCTGGAAGGCTGCTCAGTTGAAAGTGGTAGGAGTAAGTATCAGAGTTGAATTGAAGACGAAACAAGAACAAATCATTAAAGCATTGCTTTGAAATTCGAAGTAAAAAAACATGAACTTCTCACGTTACTGGGGTTAGTAGATAGTTCACATTGCTACACATGATAAGAAGTTATTAATAAGGAAAGAGGCACTACGTTGTAGTATTTATTTATAACTGAAAAGTCAAATAGCATACATATTTTATCAACGACCCTTTGTGTTTATTTTTTTATTTAAACATTACAATAGATGGATGTGCTTCTGAAATGCCCATGTGAAGTATGAACTGCTGATATTGAAGATTATATTATTGTACAACACCATAAACCCTTTTCCTTCCCTGTATAGAGTACATTTTTTCTGGAACAAATTGTCAAAATTAAAAAATATAAAATTTAAGCGGATAATTGACAAGTTGAAAAAAAATAATACTAGACTACTTATATTTGATCAATAAAGAAAGTTATTTAAATAATTTAACTTAGACTAAAACTTGCTAACAAATTTTTTTTCTTTTTGCTAAATTAAATGAAGGATCTTCCTGTTTGTGATTTTGTTTTTCAATTCTTTTTTTTTAAAATATGATTTAAAAATTATAACAATTATATTTTTAATAAATAAAAACTATAAAATAATGGTAATACTTTTTTACAATAACTTTTTTAAAAAATATAAATAAGTTATAAGATCGCACAAACGGATATTTATCAAACAATTATAAAATAAATATTAAATTAAAATAAAGTATGCAACATATGATAAAAGTTATTAAAAACGAGGCCAGATCTCCTCCAAATAGAAATGTACTGTCGGGTGTAGTAAATCAACTTATTAAACATTGATTTATAGAACATGCAACTATATAACATGCACACTGTGAAATTGCATGTTACGAAACTTCGTAGGCTGAATAAATTATACATTGTATTAAATATTGCACAGCTTTATAATTGGGGATATTAACTTAAAAAAAAATTAATGAGAGAGATTTTTTTAATTATTTTTAATGTATTAATAGATATAAAAAGAGTTGTCTAAAAAGGCAAAACCAAACTCCCCCTCATTCTTAGTGCTGTAAGCCTGTAATCGAAAAAGAGAAGTGAGTTGCATAAGGTGAAACCTGAATGGTACTGGGAAACCAACGGGATCAGCAGCAGGAGGCAGAGGACGTGCAGGACTCAACACTCTCGCCGTGAAAGACTCCCCCACGCGCTTCTTCGGCGTCGAACATACGCTCGGTGACTCCTCCCCTCCGAATATGTCATAAAAAAAGTCATTGCTCTTGTTTGGGAAACGCCTTCTGTTTCCATTATCCTCCCCAAATACTGGTTTCTCACACCAACCACTTTCCCCTTCCTCTCCTCTCAACTCCTCCAACTCACTCACACTCTGCCGCGTTTCATTTACCGAAGACCGCCGTGGCGGCCCCCCGAAGACGTCCGTGAAATCAACGTCCCAATTTCTCTGCGGCGTGCTCGGATTCGTCGACGACGCCCTCTCTATTAGGGACTTATTATTATTATAATTATACCCTAAAAGAACGCTCTCTCGTTGAGAATAATAAAATCTCTCCATTCTATAATAATAATAAGAGAAATTCACAACTCAAAGCTGGCGCCAAATTGTTGAAGTGAAGAGCACAGAAACAGCGAGGAAGAGGAAGTGGAAGAGGACAATGTTTAGCCATTGGCAGGGAAATCTAATAGCGATTGCCAAGCCACAAATTACGAGTGAATGTGGATAGGCTGCGAAATTTTCAAAAGGATAAATTGGAAGTATTGATGGTGATAACCAACGCGCCATGCTCCATGTTTTGGATTTGGCATAATATTTTTTGTGATACTAATTAAATCCCCCGTCTATACTATGATGACTAGTCTCGAGACACCACAGCCTCTCGTTGTTTCCTCTTTTTCTTGGAGAATCGCGTTTTCGCCAAATAAAACAAGACAATTAAAAATGATTATAAGCATAAAGAGTTTTAGAATTGGCACCAATGAAAAGATTTTTAATATTCAAGATTTTTCAGAAAAGGAAACGAGCAAATACCCGTTACTTCCTCCTAGTAGCTGTCACGTGGTTCCAATTAGGCATGAAGATAAGAAAAAACTGGAAGATGCTGACGCGCTGCGCTGCAAGTGGCTATCCTCACTCTTATTTGGATGTTTCCTCGTTTGCTTATTGATTCGGCATTGAATGAGAAACATCCCGATATGGAAAAGGAAATGACATACCTAATTAATCGTTGCGGTTTTGTCAACAAAAGAATTAAAAAACTTTGTGGAACCATTTGGCGCTTTTCTGAAATTACATTTTCTTGCATGGTCTGGTCTCGCCGGTACAAACGAATTTCAAGGAAGTGTGAGTAGTTTTGCAACATGCATCTAGTTTATTTGTTGAATTCATATTTACTAAATTTTTAAAGTAAATCCAAACACACGAATGAGAATTCATATCTACTGGCAAATACTAAGCCACCAAAATATTAATGTCAGGTTAAGCAAGTACCTATATGCTAGAGCCAATTGTAATTAACTAAATGCCTTAATAAGTTCTTAAAATTGCATTTTCAGGCTCGGCTCATTTTAATCCCTCCTCTGTCAATTTCAATTGAAAACCAACGTTAGTGTCGAATGCACTACTACAGTCAATTACCATCTAAATTAGACAATGAAGAGTTTGCTCGGCTAACGTTTTGTGTTGGGTCTGCAATGGCAAATACACGTCACTTGGTGCTAACATATGTAAGGGATGTCATAACCGAGCAATTTAGAAGTAAGTAAAGAGTATCGTAAGTGATGATACTTGGCAGTGGGGACTACGTTGAACAGAGATAGTAACTAAAGGGTCTAAATTGCAAACATAAGTAAAGCTATATGTATAATGAATTCATCCTGAAAATGCAGGGTAGGCTTTGGAAAAAGGTAAAATGAAGGAAAACTACGATGCCCGGTGGCCCCTACCAATCTCTTATCTTCGTAAAAACCAAACAAAGTAAAGCTACGGCTAATGTAGTTACTATATTTCACCTATTATACTTTCAAGCACAGTACGTGCCAGCATTTGACAAATTACATCAATCTCGAGAGGCCCTTATTCCACTCACTGGTTTGTTTAGAGATATGTCATTCAGCCATTAACCATTTATCACAAACGAATACCAAAATCAAGGATTATCTCAGTACTTACTTGATCATGTTTTTTTTTTTTTAAACCCTGGCTGGGTCAATGGGTCAAATAACTCATTGGGCTCCTAATAACTAGCATGCAATGAATTTGGGCCAACCTTTTCCTCACCCTAATTTTTTATTTTGAGTTGACTCTTCTCTTCTATCCCTTACTTGCAATAGGTAAGGCAGGATACTTATCCATTAAATAAGTATGATTTTAAGTATAAGCAATTATTTGTAAAAGTTTTGCAAGTGTGAGCGTGGCAAGTATAATTATACTACTCAATCTTACTAACACTGGCATAATATTTATTTTGTTTTCAATTTGAATATAATTTTTTGAATTAGATTAAAGATTCTTATCTGTAATACTTCATAATGAAAAATGGATAATTTTGAATTATATTTTACGTAAGATACATATCTTATTTTTAATTAACGTTTTTTATTAATATTAATGAGTACAGTAATACCTGTCTAAAGCTCTCCATTTTAATTTGAATAAAAAGCAAGTATAAAATGAGTGATGTAATAGTTGTCTAAACCTTTCCATTTTTCATCGCTAACCGGAGACAAGTTTGAAAGTTGACATTATTTTTCTACGTACAAAATAATGCAGAAGCAGGACCCGCTGCAGAATTGACATGCACCACCGCCATCCGATCCATTTTCAAACATTAATGTTGCCAACGATGCAAGTTGACATTGAAACCAATCAAATTTAGACTTGTTTTCAACTTTTTTCTATTTTAGAAAAAAAGAGATGAGAGAAGACTTTTTTCAAAGCCATGTTCAAATCAATAATAAAAAAAGAGTGAACGATGAGGCTTTTTAAAAAAAAAAAATTATAGAAATATAATTTTTTTGGTTAAATTACAAAAATATAATATTTTTAAAAATCGCTATGGAGGACTTTTAACTATTTTTTTTTAAATGTTATTATTACTTTAAAATTTGTCATTGATAATTTTTGTTTTTTTAAATATTTTTAATATAAATAAAATGATATTAATCTAAAAATCATTAATGACAATTTTTAAATTCTATATTTCTGTAAATTTTTTAAAATTGTCATATTTTAATATATATAAAAAAAATTCGAACGATGATAAAAAATATATATTTGGTTAATATTTTTTTCTCCAATTATTGTAACATAATAATACTATGTTATGAGAGATAATAACATAAATAATTACAGTTTTTAAACAAATAGATAACTATAGTTTCATTTTTTATTATTTACTTAGTTCATGGATGTTTGACTAATTTTAGTTTTTACTTTTTCTCTATCATAACATCATCTTTTATTTACTAACATGAGAAAATCTGAATATTTTTCGTTAAGTATTGACTAATATTAAATAATATAGCTTATTAAAATCATATAGTTTTTTCTTTGAAGAAAAATATAAGTGATAGCGTGTGAGATCTGCGGAGTAAGTTTTGACAAAGTAAGTGATAGCAGTTCTATTTGGACATAAGTGAAAGAGTAGTGTAGCTAGAGTTCACAGAAATGCATGTCTACGAATATTTGTGGTTTTCGCTAATGATGGAGCGTGGGTTAGAAATTTGAGAGTGGAAATCGGTTTAAAATAGAAGATGATCACGATAAAAGGTCGGTGGTTCAATGAAACACGAAAGGAGATGTTTATATTAGTTTAGAAAAAATCGTTTATTTTCAGTGTGAAAAAGCAAATGTTCACATAAAACTTGATCATGACAACGGAAAACAAAATGACGGTTCGCAATTAAAGACAAGTATATTATATATAGAGGGAAAAGAGAGAAAATGTGACTAACTAAAAATTAATTTAGACTTTCTCGTGTTATTAAAAACATAATATATTAAAATAATAAACACAAATTTTATCAAATTTAATTAATGAATCCCACAGTAAATTCTAATACTTTTATTTAATTAAATTATTCATTTTTCTCTCTCCAATATAACTATATCACATTATTCAAATAGAGTGACGTGATATCAATCAGAAAAATTACAAGAAAAAACAAAGAGGAGAACTGAACTAAAATTTAAAAGATAAAAGGTCTAACTAATACAAATTAAACTTTAAAGACTGAAAACGTTACTTTTATCTTTTTATTTAATTTCATTTTTAATAAATTTTTTTTTTATTTTCATGTTTTGTTTTAAACTAAATAAAACAGAACCATATTTTATTTACGGTTCCAATTCATAACACGTGTAATAAACGCTTCCCAAATCTCAGAAAAGATATACTACTGGGAGTAAGAATCAACATGGAATAAGGCAATATATAGAAAATAAAACCGCGGAGGGGCATATGTACATTTGGACAACAGCACACTTATTACAGAATAGACAAAGTGAAAAGACATTTATACATAAATATTTAAAAAGCATTTTCTAATAGATGTGATTTTTATCCTATCATTTTACCGAATAGCAAGAGACTTGGCTAATTTACCCGTCACAAAAATTACGGGGGGCCTATAGAAAAGACCCACTGACCACCCCAAGAAGGGTTGGTTCGTGCAACTAACAAAGCAGTTCTTAGTTTTCTACTGCCCAAGTCCTCCTCCTTCACCGGATGAATCAAAGTTCCCTCCAAATGAAGTAAGTAAAGCAGAGAGACCGCCCCTGCTTGCCCCGTCACCGATGCTCAGCCCAAGAAGATCACGAGTCATGGGCGGGCCAACAAATGAGCTAGACGGGCCCATTACACCCCCATTCCCACAGGGAAGCCCAAGCCCAAGATTATCTACCACTGGGTGATTCTCTTGCTTTACTTGGCCGTTCCATTGTATTGTTGGGGTGCCAACACTGTCATCTTTACCGACGGAAAATGATGCTGCTAAGCCTAAACCCCGAAGCAAGGATGCATTGGATGCACCCATTTGAGCTGCCTTTTGGAGTAACGCAGTGGCAGATAATGCGGGTTGTGGAGATGCTGTGAAGAGGGGTGGGTCATTATTAGAGAGATAGAGCGGTGTGGAGAGAGAGAGGGATGTGGGCTCTGTCATACTAGACATGCTATTGGGGCATTCCGGGTGAGCCATGCTTGACATGAGATTGGAGAATGAGGAAGTTGAGGGTGATTGGATAGGAGTCGCCGTTGTTGTTGACGATGCCAACACACTTGCAAAAACAGTGCTGCAAGTTGAAGTAGAAGGGGTGCTGCCTGTCACACCGTTCACTATACACGTTGCGTTCGAAGACGGCGGCGACATCTTCGTTGGGTTTTCCGGAATTTCTATGGCCAATGAAGAAAAAGTTTAACAAAAGCAAAAAGTCGATGGCATAGAACGAGGGATAAGAATTGCAGAAAAGTTGTAAAAATAGATAAATAAACCTGAAACAGTTTGACACAGAGAAAAAGAAAAAGAAAAAGCTTCTTTCTTGAATATGATTATATAATTATATTATAACTGGAAAAAAGAGTTAAAAGGCTTGAAATTAAAAAGGGCAGCAATTATAGTGGTCTTTCCTGTTATTCTCAACCTCATCTTTTCGTTCTCTAACAATCCCGCCCGAACTAATAAAGAGCTAAACCCCTAGTATCAGCACAGATACAGCTTTCGTGCCTGGCTGCCAAGAAATTCTGGTGGAACATGAACAGTAAATCAACTTTATTTTTTGGCTAATTTTGTTGACCATTAGAGTGAATAATATTGAAAGAAAACATTTTTTACAAACAAACATATATTTATTGTACTTCAAAAATATTTTTATTTGGTTACCTGAATATAATAAATTTTTCCAGGGACATTTTAAATATAATTAATTTTTAAACATCGGTTCTTCTGAAGTTAATTGTTGATCATTTTAATAAACTAAAAACAAATAAAATCTTAGCTGTTCTAATTCATCTATCCTCGGGAGGGTGCAGACCACAACGTATCCATCGTCTTGAGTCCTGACCTTCTACTGGGTTTGTTTCTACCAACTACTGCTTAACTTGCCAGTTTTAAAAAGAGCAGAAGAAAACAAACTTAAAAATAAAAAAGCAGCTTCATGGGAACGAGACAAAAAACACATCCTTCGAGTTCAAATCATGTCTGCGTCATGCTTATAAAACCCATTATTACTAGTATAAATTTACCTAAAATTCTTGAGCAAATTGAAAGTTGACGAAAACGTTTCTAAAATCGCAAGGGCAAATATGAAACGAAGTGCTGGTCCTACCTGAGCTCTGAATGGAGAGAGTCGGAGACACCACAGTGGTAGAGGGAGTAAGCGGAGGCGTAGGCGGCGAAGAAGCCCCGACTTGGGCTTGGACATGGGCCCTGGCGCTCTCTTTAGCTAATACATCGCAAAACGCTCGGTGCGTTATGAAGCTATCCCTCCTTCAATTTTCACAATCCACCAAGAAGATACATATTAGTATATTACTATTAGGGACATTACATTTGAAAAGAAAAAGAAACATTTTAAATTTAATTTAGATTTAGATTTTGTTACCTAGAGAACAAGGTGCCGCAGTCACATCTATACTCTCTAGTACCGCAGGTCTTCATATGAGCCTTCCAATCGGAGTGCACAGCGTATTTCTTGGAGCAACGTTCGCAATTCCACTTCTTTTCGCCGTGTTTTCTGCAAAAGTGCTTCTTAATGCCGGTGAGGTCACCCAGCGCCCTAGAGGGGTTGTGGTGGACGCAGGAAGGTTCGGGACACACGTAGGCTTTCTTGCGGATTTCCTTGCTCCCTCGCTGACGCAGCTTCCACGGCAGGTTGTGGCCTCGCCGGTGAAGCTGGAGGTTCTGGTCGCGTTGGAATCCTTTGTTGCAGATCTCGCAGACGAAACGGTTGGTGGCCAACAGAGTCTTTGGTGATAAAGCAATAACTTGAGCGTCTGGATCTGAGAAAAGGGAATATCCAAAATAACATTCATTGAATAATAATGAATGAATATGCGCAAGTGACTCAAACTGAAAATAAGTACTTAAAGCATGTAAGATAATTTATTATAATTGAGGACAAATAAATTGAAAGTGTTTTACTTTAAAAAAATACATTAACTATATGTAAAAAGGAGATGTACCTGGCATTCCAGGGAGGCTTCGCTTCTTTTTGGAAGGAGGGAGTGGTTGAGGTGAGGTTTCTAACAGAGAGAGAGAGGTAGGTGAAGAGTGTGTGATTGGTGAAGGATTGGGAGGGTCCGTCATAGCTGCTATGCTCTATTAATTGAATGAACAGAAGAGTATCATAAACTGTGTGTGTCTCTTTCTAGTTAAATGTGATTGTTGTGTTGGTAGAGATAGAGAATTTGGTTTGGGAGAAATGAATAGAGTGAAAGTAGATGATTGTTTCTCTTCTCTTCCCAATGAGGGGCCATTCAACATTCTCGGCCGGTGTGTGTACGACGGTCCTATAAGACGGCGCGGTGAGGAAGTTGGAAAACTGGAATAGAGAGAGAAATTAATTAGAAAAGAGGATTATATGCATTACAAAATTGTAGTGATACTACTAACTAGGCTAAAACGGCGCCAGCTAACCATGGTTAAGTTAGGAAGGAGAAAGAATTGGCAAGGTGTTTTTTCATTTTTTAAAAAACAGAAGAATAGAGTGGGGATATGAAATGATGTGAATAGGGTTAGGGTGGGCACCAAGTATGCCGTGGCAAATAATGCGAATCCCACCGTCCACGTGTTAGAAGGAGGGGATCAATGACCTCTGTTGGGAGTAAACCATGGAGCGGTGCTTGTCGTGTAGTCCACTCCGTAGAACCTCTGCACCAACTACTCTTTTTCTTTTACCATTTTTCATTTTTTCAAACCAATATTTCCGCTTTCACAGCGGGAAAAAACCTACAATTTTTTTAATCGGCGCCTTTTTTTTTTTAAATGTTTATCATAATATTTTTATTAATTTTTTTAAAAATAATATATATATTTCTTTAATTCTTTAACTAGACTTGTTAATATTTTTAAAATAAGACGATAAGATGTTTTTTATTTTACTTTATTTTGTATATATGATTAATTTGTTTTACAGGCCTGCTTTACTTATCTTTTTAATTTTAATTTTATTTTATAAAGTTTTGAGTTAAAAATAAATTAATTCATATTTTTAGTGTTCATTTAAATTAAAGTTAGTTATAATTAATTTTAAACTGTAGAGTATAATTAAAAATTTAAAATATGTATATAGTGTAATCTAAACCACACGTTTGTATTAAAACAAGCGTTTCTCATTAAAAGACTATAAAAAATATTTTCTTGTAAACAACAAGTCCTATTATCATACTCTACATCAAATTTAGGATTAAAAAAAAGTCTATCCTAATTTTATTCTAATATTTTGATTCAGTTATTGTATTTCATTTTTTATTAGAGGTGAGAAACGGGGTTACTCAGTCTGAACCAGGTACGAGCTTTTAGATAAACCAAAATTATTATAGTAGGCTCAATTCGTTCTCATTAGTGATGAACTAGCTTACATGGTTACATTGCCACAAAAACAAAATGCAACACTCCTCTGAGTTTTGTTATTTAGTACATAAAATAAAATAAAACTGCAGCTGAAAATAGTTTATTTGTCTAAACTTAAATTATTTATTAGTAATTTTTATACACTATACAAATATTTTTATTTAAATAAAAATCAATAAACTAATAGATTTTTATTATTAATAAAAACATATTATATTAAATAAGAATACATTATAAAAAATTAAGATTGAGAATGAAATTGTAAAAAATATATTTAAATCAATATATATCACCATTATTCATATAACGATTCGAAATTTAGGTTATTAGTAACTGATATTACAATAAATACAAAATAAAATATATTTAAACTTTTTTTTAGATTACTATGTTGAGATTTAAAAGTAATAAAATAAAAAAATACAAATAAATAAATAAAATTTGATAGATTATACAGTGAAAGGAGGACCACCTGACATGAACGTGCTACATCCACCGTTACAAGGTTTTCCGCGAAATCATAGATGAATCTGCTGATTTCAGACTTGGCTTTTAGGCGTTCACACCTCGTCGTCGTTTGGGGTTTCATCTACCACGGTTGTCGATTCCAATCCAACTCAATCGTATTTTTAATTATTTAGATGGGTAAGTGATTTTAAAACTATATATTTGAATTGCATAAAAAAAATAATAACGTGTTGTATAATATTTTTTAATCTTAAGCTCTAAAATATTGGGGTTCGGATCCAGTGCAGTCCCTGCAGAAAGTGTATCGTGTATTTAGACAAAAATTTATATTTTTGCTTAAGAAAAATATAGAAACATGTAAAAAAATTTGGCGACAACTGAATCCAGATCCAAAATGTTGCTTGTAAAGTATAAATTATTTATTTGACAAAAATAAAAGATTATTTCACTGTTAAAAAATTTATAAAACAATGTATAAAGTAAAAAATAATAACTACTACATTAAAAGCTTCAATCTTTTTACTAAATTAAGGGATATATTCTAATTTTTATTTATTAAACTTAATTTAATTTTTCGAATAAAAGTTGATAGTTTAGTAAAAAAAAAAACTTTGTAGCATGATGATTTTAATATTTTAAAATTATAATTTATAAAAAAAAACATTAACTTCTGCCCAATAAACATTTCCCCTCCAAGTCCCTCGACCAATAATCGTTGAAAACTGAAAAGTGATGGATATGAAACAAAATAAATGTAGATTGAAATACGACACACACAGTGACAGTATATGCAAGGGACTGTTAATTTAGTAGCATTATATTGTTTGATAATTTAAATTTAAAAAACAAAAGTGCACGAAAATGTTAAATTACCATTAAATGACAATATGCAAATGAGTATAAATAAGATTATTGGAAATGTAAACTGAAAAGGCGAATTGCTTTTGTTCGAAAGGATGGAAAGATGAAAGTGAAGGGCGTTTTAGTCTTTTGGGATGCAAAGGTACAATGAAGAACACTGGAGAATTGAGATTTGAGAATGAGAATGAAAAGAGTGAATGGTGTGTCTGGGACCCACCAACTGGAAAGTGGAGCTTAAGAGAAAAGGGTTAGGCATGGAATTTCAATTGCAATTGGAAGCATATCCAACACGCTTCAAAGTTCAAATCCATTTCAAATCGCCAGCTGAGCTACTACACTACACTGCCACCACGGTTGTTTCAACGCTTTTTTCGTTTCTTTTTGTCTCAACTTTGGACGTAAACCAAACTTCTATGCTTATAATTATTACAATCATAATGGCAAGATTGCTATGTCGTATAAGTATGAACACTATCAGCCTTTTTTTTTTTTTTAAGGTTCGTCACTTGTTCAAAAGACAAGAATAAATATCTCTATGATTATAATTAGTAACAAGGTTTTATTATTTTTCTTTCTTTTCAAATTACAATGACAAGAACATTTAGTAATATATTATGTCATTTTTTTTATTCTGAATTTTGTGTATCATTTTTTCTACATATGTAATTTCCCCTTTTCTTAAAGCACCGTTGGATAGGCATCTGTAGCATATCTTAAACTGGCCTCGACAAGACTTTCCAGAATCTGTAAAGTTGGAGTAGTTTTTGGGTTTTTTTGTATCTTTGATTAAAATAAGAGTTATTTAAACATGAAAAAAACATTTTATTTTGATGCTTTAAAAATGCAAAAGTGCATTCTATTGTAGTCTTTCTGATTTTAATTTAATTTAATTTAATATTTATTTTTTAAAAAACAAAACAACATCCTCTTGTTTAAAACTAAACAAATTTGGTTCTCATTGATTTTTTTTTATCTAAAATCTTAAAAGGCTTACCTTCTGCTCGTATAGTTGGAGATATACGATAGATTTTAGGCATGAAATGATTTTCAACTTTTATTAAATTGTATCCATGTAAGTCAAATTCTTATAGCTGGTCAGATTTCTCCTTGCACAGTTGCACTGTTCTGTTTTGTTTTTTGGGTGGTTGCCTGCAGTGGTATAATAATCAAATTAAGTTATTTTAGGTGTTGGTTAGTCACAATCTTGTAATAATAACTGAATTTCATGATCACAGCTGCTCCTGAAGGACTGTGACATATAGCACAAATATCATAGATTTCTAGTATTAGGCATGCAATTCGATCAATGCTTGACTGGGAATAGACAGTACACCATTTTTAACACGAGTTTGTAGTAATTTGTTTTATTCCTTTTAACATGCTTGGGATATTAGGCAATTGAAAATTGAATTGCAGAAGATCGTGATCAATTAGAGCATTACTGACAATAGGGGTAAACATGAAATTAACAGTTTACAATTAACGACACAATTCTATGAATTAAATTTAGTAGCCATCATGAGGAGAGTGGGCCTTGGAAGTTCGCATCAATTGATTGAATGAGGAAAGGGTTGAAAAGCAGCAAAAAAAGATAATCAAAATTGAAATGATTAGTCAGGACATTTTTCCTTTTTTCTTTTTGACATTATGCAAACTGCAAGCAAGCTTGGGGTCCCAAAAACCTACAGCACGTTACAGCTGTGTTTCATAGTCCCATCAAGTCCATTTCGTCGCGAATATATATATTTTCAATTTAAAATATAATATGTATTCTATATTTATACTTTTAAAATGTAAAATATTATTTTTAATTATTTATCTATAAGCTTAAAAATGAAGTTCAGTATACATATTATGTTTTTTTTACATTTATCTTTTTTATACGTTTTTTGAAAATATTGTAATAAATTTTTTTATTTAATATAAATAAATTTTCACATAAAATTTTGTTCACTGTAATTATTTTTAAGTCTCTTCCTTTAATTATTATTTTTAAAATTTTCTTAGATTTTTTTTCAAATGCTTTAAATGTGGATAAAAGTTTTCAATCGTATGATAAATTTGTTTTAGAGGTTTTTTTTTTTGGCAATTTTACAAATTAATAAACTAGTAGCTTTTAAGTAAATAAAAAATAATATTTGTTATACTTAATAAGATGGTAAAAATATGTTTTTAAAATATTTATAAAAGTTTTATTATAAATCATTTAATAAAAAATTTGATTTTTAATATTATATAGAAAATATTGTTAAGTATTTTTCAAATATTAAAACAAAATTGTGTCTTTTAGCTGATAGTAACAAAAAGATTTCTTTTTTGGTCCACTGTGGTAGAAGTTTGTTTTATGGATGATGTCTTTCTTGGGCCTTTAGTGGTTTGGCCAATCTGCTTCACACACACACACACACACACGAATATATTGATAAATGTGATATTTTAACGAAGTTTAAGTTCAAAATTATAATGTACATTGCCTTATAAACAAACTACTATAGTATGTATTCATCTATGTATGACATTCGTGTTTTTTTTTTCACAACCAGATGCATGACGTTCTTATTCATGCATCACATGACGTCGTGTCCAAAATTTGTATTGACTCTACTCGTCCTTGCTGAGTGTCCGAGCGGGGACACAGGAGCCTGTAGGCCTCTTAATGGTTTGGATTCTGTGAAAAACTA